ATATATATATATATATATATATATATATATATATATATATGTATGTATGTATATAAAAAGTTCTCATAGTTTATTAGATCTGTGTATTTATGTCTCGATGCAGACGGAGAAAATTAAGCAAGGAAAGCAAAAAAATAAAAAAAAAACAAAAACCAAAAGAAAATCACGCGTGTCGCGTCATTTCCTTCTTTTCTTCTTTACTTATTTACATTTCCTTTGTGCCGTTGAAGCGAAAACGAACAAAAATTGCATTAGTTTGTCATTTTATATATAAAAATGACCCTTTAAGCACAAAGCTTTTTCTTTCTTGGCTTTTTCTTTTTCTTTTCATTCTTATGACATGAGAGCATGAGTGCTTTTGTGCTTGTGCTTGTGCTTGTGCTTGTGCTCTTGTACATGCATACTTTTGTTATTCGCTTACACAGCTTACATCTCAGCTTCTTGCAGCAACAAAGGCCGCATTCAAGCATTGTCGTTTTCGCTGTTTTCTCTTTTTTCTTCATATTATTATTATTATTATTATTATTATTATTATTATATGTATACGTGTACACAACTTCTCTTTAATGCATTCTTGCATGTTTACAAGTGTATATATATATATATAATTTTACATTTCACATCTTGCATTCTTCCTGTTTTCGTTCACACAACCTCAACATAATACCAAGTATTCCTGATTCTAGATACTAACCAACAATGGCAGGCAAACTACAACAAGGAATATAAATAATAAATAATGTAAACACCCGGCGAGTAATTAACAAATTCTAAATGTAAAAAGTGACTAAGCTTAGCCCGAACCGTGAAACCTTTTACATTATATTTTTGAAACAAAAAAAAAAAAAAAAAAGGCTCTTATTTCATTCGAACATTCGCAAATTTCCAAACTCGAGTCGCTTTATAACTACACTCACAAATCTGCATAAATTTGATATGTTTGTAATAGAGAAAAGTTTGCCTAATTAATTTATGTAAACAATAGAATCGATTTAGTTAAAAAAAAAAAAAAAAAAAAAAAATCGAAGACTGCTCTTAAATTTTCTCATTTTTCTATATTACACTATATTAAAAAAAAAAACAATGTTCTAAAACACTCTACATCTATGGATTGATAATTCAAAACGAGTCTTTCTCGAACTTTATAGCCTGCTTCCATTTTGGCCACAAGCGCGATATCACCTTTCGTGCATCAGCTTTGCTACAATCTACAGCTTATCTTATATTTGAAAGCCGGTCTCTGGTCCTAATTAGGCAAAATGATCAGATTCGCTCGAATTATAATAATCGTATTAACTGCGCTTGGTTTACATTTGTTATCGTATTCCGTGAGATATGTTTGCACAAACTTGATAGCAACACTTCAACCAAGAGCGCGCTCCATGCATTTCAAATAAACTGATCGCGTGTGGGAAAAGAGCTTGAATATTCCTTCGAGAAATTTGCATCCCTAAAATCCTTCTCCCTTTAATCGCAAAAGTTCAACATAATCTCAACACTAAGAAGACGACGGTTCCGAGATATAAACGGAATGTTCCTTGCCAAATTTATTGCATTTAAATTTGACTCATTTTTGGTTATAAATTTACGCATAGTAGAGTGAGGTTATGTAGATTCTAAGCGATCAAGTACCATTCAAAAATTCGCTTCATCCGAATTGGTGAACAAAGTTGCAAGAATATTTACGGGATGTTGTTATTTATGCTGATTCGATCCAAGACCCATTCTCGTTATCTTAAGCGTAATAATTAGACTGCAGTAATCAACGAAAATCGACATAATTCGGGTACAGAGATCGGACATAATCCCAAGATGAAGCGATCGATTGTGCGGCTATTCAGACATTGTAATGAGCAAAATTCCATTAGAAATGCTTATCTGTAGAATTTCGCCTTTATGTCTTATGTTAGGTTCTTCTGGTCCTCTTAATTCGAATTTTTGAGAAAAAAAAATATTTTGCTTTCTCTCCCTCTCTCTCTCTCTCTTTCTGTATCCGTGAAAATTATAAAGTTTAAAAAAATTTTCCGTACACAGTCACAGTCAGAATTACATTTTACGTGTAATAGGTTCGGAATTCATTTATTATTGTATGACACACTACACAAAGCAGCGACGAGACTACTCTCAAATAAAACCCAACGAGAAATGATTGGTTTCCATTTCCTTTTTTTGATTATCCTTACAACTAAATCGTCGAGGGCTGTTGCGGGCGAAATGTGAACGCAACATTTCGTATAGGTTCACGGCTCCAGACGAGTCAACAAGTAACGTACAACGAACACCGGGGCATACACATGTTTGTTTTGCAAGCGCCAAGCGCTGCTCTACCCAGCTGCTCGTTGGGTGAAACCATCAAGCTCTCTCGCGTGTGTAGTTTTTTTTTTTTTGCTTTCGCCAAAAAGAGCTTTTTTTATTCGTGCTCATTACATCTTTACAGCATACAATGGCTCTCGAAACACCATTTAAGTATAAAATATGCCTCGCATTCATACAAATCTGTTGGCTCTCCGTGTTGGTGACAACAGAAATCAGTGCAAGTGTGTGTGCGTGTGTGTGTGTGTGTGTGTATGTGTTAGAGCATAAAGTATATAATATTATTGTGCTTTTGTTCAAAGTCAAAGGTTGTTGAACTTTTGGGGCAGAACTTTAAATGCTTCATTCAAACTGCAATAAAAACAAACAAAACATAATTTTCAATGCCATGGGGAGACTTATACGTTACGCGTCGTCATATGTGCATGCAGATAATGCGTTGTATGCAGGTAGCTAATTTTTTCTTTCTTTCCGCCACTCTGTTCATTTGTCCGTCCGTTCGTCTATCTGTTCACTGAAAGTGTTCGTACAAGCATAATTGCTTGTTCCATACACCCATGCGCTATGATATCAAAGACAGTGTAAACATAAATAAGTATTTATTCTTCTCTTTATTCTTATTGTTGTTTTTATAGTTCTTAATAATGCAAACATTTTTAATTTCGCATTCTCCTCTAATCGCAATACAACATTGTCTACGAATATTGAAATAAGAAGCAACGCTTGTTTTGCGGAATTATTTATAGATTCATATTTCATGATTTAGATTTCAATTTCTACGATCAAATTGAAAATTTAAATTGGAAATGTGGCGATACTACGTTAGTAAAAGAATTCGAATTCCCCTGAAAGCGATCGTTTGATCGAGTTTTGAAACGAAAATTTGCTTAGGTAACGAACTGATAAAATCTTCGGCTCCACTAAATGCATTTAAGTTGATGTAAATATTATTAAAGAAGCCCGATACCCCAGCTACTCCCCCAGCTTTTCAAGCTTAACTAGTCGCAAAGAATATATTCGTTTATTACTGCATTTTCTAAATTTTTTCTTCCTTCTTCAATGCTTTTCTGATGAGTGAGTGAATAAATAAATAAATAAGTTTTATATCTCGATATGGTTTATTTCTCCATTGCGATGCAACGGACATGCCTTTAACATACAAATCCAACAAAATTGAAATTTAATTTAATTCAAACAATATGCGCTTCATTCCAGCTTGCTTTTACTGAAACAGTAAGCTATTCACAGTACAATGGATATATTCATAGATTCCCCCAAGCAAGAAGAATAAGTCAGTTAATAGACAAGCTTTCCAAGACGCTATCAATAGATCAATAGGTGAAGTTATAATTGAGGAAAAAGGAAAAAATCGTTTTTCGATAACCTTGAACTCGTTGACAGTACGTTTATATCTGCCCAACAAAAATGCAGTCAACGTTATCGAACTCAATGCCATGCAATCAATTAAAGAACAGATTTCTAGACGTCAGATTTTTTTTAATTATCGCCTTAGACGTGGTATCATTGGTGGATCACTGCAAGCGATTCTTAGAACTAACTCAAAGACAATGAAGAAGAGTAAAAAGTTTTTCAAAATTCAAGACTAAACAAAGATGCGCATAACTAACTCAATATTTCGAATCATTTCATAAATACTACGGATCCGATGTATTCTCCATAGTTAGTCAGATGTATTCGCTTTGAAGTGAATATTGATTATCCAACAATTCGATTCCACACGGAATGGGCGGTAAATATTCGCCCGGCCGTAAAAATTCGGCGTAAACATTGGAAATACCTGCACCACTTGTAGTACGGAAGGAGTTGTGATAGATCCACCTTTTCTTATACCAATTCATTTAGAATCACTTAGTGACTGAAACCAGTCGAAAATCTTGAAAAAATCTTTTTGTCTAGAGCGAGCGTGCTTTGTTCAAAGACGCCACATCTGGCCAACATTCAGCTTATACCGATAGAAGTGAACGATTCGATGTTCGAAACAAGTATTGATTGGCAGTGAAAAAATCTCTTGGTGACCTTCCGCAAATATAACTTGACTAGATACACTAGACTCGATTTTGGAAGACGTGCATCGATTATGACCCTTCTCACATTGTAATGGTTCTGCGAGAGCGTTTTACTATTCGCCTGATTTGGACGTCTGGTTATTCGCTTTTAAAGTTTTAAAACCCATACCACGATTAAGGATCAGGTCAGCATTTTAATTTAGCTGCGGTTCACCTAACATGAACCGACCTCAGCCTGCTCAGCACTACCAAAAATCGGTTTTTCAAATCGTGATGTAATCGCTCGTAATGTGATGAGAAAAAAAGTGTTGATCAGCATGATGAAGGTTTATAACAATAAGTTTCCAACATGGGTGACAACTTTCTTGCTTCTTATTATCTTTTTTTTCCCCTTTTTTGTTCTTTTAGTCAGGTATATATATATATATTACATGATTACATTTATACAAAGATCTTGATATCAATTTTTGATTCAAATTACTTAAAAGCTTTCAAAAAAAAAAAAAAAAAAAAAAAAATACAAAAGACAAAAGCCTTCAAAACCCTAACCATTTCTTACAAAAAAAAAATATGTGACGGCATTACGCTCGGCTCTACAGAGGCTTAAATAATTGTATGCAAACTGTCAATGCACAGCGAAGAGGAAAGCAAAAGAAACAGAAAATAAAAAACCGACCGTACACGTTATTATGTACGTACCATGTTGACAAAGAACGCAAAGATGTGTAGTTCCGAATAGTAACTGAGGGATTAAAGATATATTATATACATATGTATGCATATATATTAATGGCAAGGGTGACGACGTTAAGGGAGGAACTCATTAAAACTTCTTTGTGTGTATATGTAAGTTGAAATGAAGCCAGTAAAAAATATATTAAATAAGAAGGAACAGAAAGGGCTTTTATGCTTTTTTCATCGTTTTTGTTTTTATTTTCGTTTTTTCATTAATAAGTTCACTAAGCAATGCAGGACTGACTGACAAACGGACGGGAACTCTTAGAACTTTTGAATGTTTTTCTGGTTTTGAAAGTAATATGAGAGTTGCAAAGAGAGTTTAGGAAGAGTCTATAGAACCTCTCTGCGCGCTTATGGTAAATGTATGTGCTTTCATATCAATTCCCATATATATATATATATATATATATATATATATATATATTAAATTTGAATGTGTTCGCTTGTGTAGGTACATTGAAGCATGAAAGTATCAAGTAGATGAACAGCAGTTTATACGCAACAAACGTACAAACATCAACTGTGTCTGGTTATGGGATCTAATTTTAAAGTTTGAAATTGCAGTTGGTTTAAACAACACTAACAGAAACAACAATAATAGCAATGAAATTGCAAAAGAACTGAAGAACACACTCGCATTTACAATTTACTCTAGCTCCGCGATTCAGTCAGTAAATAAAGAACAATCAACAAGATCGGTCGATTGTGACATATACTGGGACGGGAGTTTATTTTTAGTGCTCTTCACGATTAGAAAATAGAAAAGAAAAAAAAAAAACAAAATATTTTCATTAGAAATTTTTCTTCTTATTTTTTTTTTATTTATTTATTTATTTATTTATTTATTTATTTTTTTTGCAAGGAGTGTGGAGAAAAGAAAAACAGTAACAACAACAACAATAACAACATCGGCAATAAAGTGATAGTTTGCTTACTTTTTCTCTTTCAATCCATTAAAGTGCTTGAGATCTGCAGGAAGAAAGAAAAGGTTAATTATATATGTGCTTGAAATTGATGTGAAAAAGTTAATTAATTAAATTATTAATACTTTCCAGATGATAGATAGCATTAAAAATCTATATGCATTTTATATGAAATATAAAATAAGCATAAGAAAAACGCTCTTTTAGTTCTTGTTTTGCATTAAACTTGACCTTAAACTTGTTCCGCAAGTTCTTGCAAACGACCAAAAAATTAAAAAAAAAAAAAAAAAAAAATAAGAGATATGCTCGAAATTTTCTATACATGTAAGAAGCAAAAAAAAAAAATAAAATAAAAATAAATAAATAAATAAAAAAAAAAATAAAAAAAAGAAATAACAAAACGTATCTGCACACGAACACATTTAAGCACATGCAATAAATGTATTTGTTTGCCTAAAATAAACCCCCAAACGAATAGCTAGCAAGCTATTATAGCTATTATAGATAGACTTATAGAACAGACAGGCCGACATAGTCAGACAGCCAAGTACCCAACCAAGCAACTTCACGCACCTAGTTATATATTAGTCCGTACGTACGTATATGCATGCATGCATTTTTATTGTTGGGAGTTGGAATTTATTTCTTTTCGCCATTAAAGAAGAAAAAAAGAAAAACAACTGCTACACACAATAAAATTACAACAATAACAATCATAAAGACGACGCTAACTATAAAGTATTTTTAGACCGACCATTAATAATATATATATATATATATATATATATATTCGCTAAAGTATATATAAAACTTACAGCATGCAGGCACATCTTCGCAAATGCATACGTACTCTACTCGTATGTACATAATGCAATGTATATATATACGTACAGTGATAATAATAAGACTGAGCTTCTAACGCAGCGCAAAACATTAAAAAGAAGAAGAAACAATAATAAGAATAACATGCGAAAGCTTAAAGCATAACTTTTACAATTTTAAACATTTCAATTAAATTGAAGTTGTGAGCGAAAAAGCTCTCTTTCTCTTCTCTAACTACTACCACTGCTACTACTACTACTACTACTACTACTACTATTACTACTACTGCTTCTTCCCCCCGTAAGCAATTAATTAGCTTATGCTGCCGATACGTTTGATCCCGACCATGCCGATCATTTCTTTGTGCTGATGAGCCGACCAGAGTGAAAAATACTGGCAGAATGAATCGAAATTTTTACCATTTCGAAAATATAAAAGAAAACGAAATAAGAAAATGCACACACATAAATTTTGTCTTGTATTGTTTTGTTTTTTTTTTTTCCTTTCCTTGTATAATACAAAATTATTGAGCTTAGCATGCATTGCGAATACCACGAGAAAGCAACCTCAAAAGACATCTGCGGCACTCTATCTACGAAATTATGCTTAAAATCAAATTTTACAGTATCATTTACCCGGAGATAAAGTTATAGCTATGGGAAGAGAGAGCTTTTAAATTTAAATAGAATTCTTGCCAAAGTTACTTTACGAGAATTTTAGTCAACAAATTTTTTTTTTTTTTTTTAAGTAAAATTTTATTTCTAATAATTGCTCCGCTTAACCGAAAATGCTTAGACGGTAAACTCGTGGTTATTGTTAGTTTCAGTTGATGCCTCTATAATGATACGAATGCATATAATTACGTATCCATGTAGTCGATAGGCGTGGGTTGTCCGAAAATTATCTGACCCGAATATGATGATGGCAGCACTTGACCCAAAAAATACAAATGCCTATAATGACGTATCCATGTAGACTAGAATAAGCGTAGGTTGTCTGACCCGAATATGAAGATGATAGTGCTTGTCCCACAAAAATTGGGTAAGATATTTTGCGCATGCGTTACTAACTGCTCATCAAAATTTCGATCAATTTGAACGCTCAGTTGTTCTTTGACATAACGAACGAATCGATGTAAATGTTTTTGCAAGGAATGAAAAAAAAATAATTACCGTCAAGTATTTATTCTTGCAAGACAATATGCCTACCTAAAATAAAGGCATGTTGTACTCTTTATACAAGACCTTTGGATCATCAAATCATGGTGATTCGGTGGATGGAGCTGAATGGAAACATTGACCAAGCAAGAGCTGGGGTAACGATGATAGTTCGACGCGATCAAAAATTGCAACCGCTTCAGAAAACGTTACCCGAATTTTCTTCATCACAATGAGCTTGACCAAACAAAGCGATTTATCACATATTAAAAAAATTTAGGTATGAGAAAGTTATCCGCACGTTTAACACTGTGTTTGCTCGCAAACAAACAAACAAAAACGCCGAGTTACGCCGAGGCTAACTACAAGGGTAAATTTACATGAATGAGAGTTAAATTTGTTAGCCCAACGACCGTACTCTTCAGATCTAATCTCTAGCAACTATGATCTGAAAATTCTCACCTATTCAAATACATATCCATATACATCTTGTCCGCTGTTCCAGATGTTTCCCCTGACAAGTCGAACGTGCAGAAAAATATGACTCCTTCATGCCCACAAGTATGAAGGATATTCCGCGAATGAGACCACTCACATGCAATCTGGGATTGTTTGCGTCTGTTCTAATTGACGCGTTATTTTCTTCTTAACAGTTTTCATATCCATTCGTATCTAAAAAGTAGAAATTTTACTTTCCAAACGTTGCTTCTAATATAGTATGCATGCCATCCATCGTTATTTGTAAGCTTCCGTAACGGATTATAAAACAACATTTTTATTATTTATAATATTCAATGAAAACTTGTTAAAAATTCTTTTTTATTAATTTAAATATGTTTTATTTACATCCTATGGGATTCCTTCTTCAGGTTATTTTTTATACACCCTTTAACCTGTACGTCCGTCGTAATGTGTTCAATTAAGATGCAAAGAAAGGAAATTGAATTTTGATAATACGCGAACAGCGTACGACTACTTTGTTCACTTAAGAAGGACGAAAAGACAATTAAAAATAACTGATGCCTCTAGAGCCGAAAGTTTAATTCCAATTCAATATCCGGACATTGTAATACATCCAATAATAGGTATAAGCTTTTAAGCACTGCTTACGTTTTTTGAATTCGATTCGAATATAATTAATTCTTTCAATACTGTGAACATACTTAGCTTGCGGTATTAGTAAGAAAATGTTTAGAATATAAAAAAAAAAAAAAAATCAATAAATTAATGAATAAATATATAAATAAATTTGTAACAGGAATTAATATATATAAATATTTATAGGTATACATTTTTTAACATTTTTCTTTTTTATTTTAATCCCAAAATCTCTTTTAGAAAGAATCGTCAAAGAATTTAGATAATACGTCCAAATAAACTTCTCAAATGGCAAAAACAAGAATCAAAACTACTCCAACCCGTATGCAAAAGGATGCTCTAATGGCATCAGCAGCCGTCGCTACAGTCGCGCAAGGTACCACAGAAATTGCGGTAAAGGTAGGTATGACTTTAATAAAACATTAATCGTAACGGATACGAATCTTTTAAGAGAAGACTTGGAATGTCTAACTTATAGTCCAACTAATCGTAACTGGAAGAACTTTTCAAGCTTTAAACGCTTTCCTTTCTTCAAGTTTTTTCAACAAAAATTCATTGTTAAAAATCTGATGAATTTTGAAAAAAAAATAGCGAAAGATTCTTCTCTGTGGGCTTAGACGGGAAGACAAGAAAAGCTAAGAAAAATATTTCTTTTCCTTAATTATTTTCCAATTTAAGAAACGTTTACTTCAATTGAGTCATAAAAATTCAAATGTGGATGCAATGCCGAGCGGTTCGACAATAATAGTACAGGCACCAAAACGTACAAATTCAATGTCTTCGGCTACATCAACTATATCACATATAAGCGATGTACAGTCGGGCAGCGAATCGCCGATTCCACAAATTGCAAAACTGAAGGCGACTATAACTGCAAACACGGACGAACCCACCATGGCCGAATTGACTGAAAGTGCCATTAAAACTCTGAACGAAGGATTGCAAAGTAGATCCAATGGACGTGGGGCCTTAAAGAATCGTAAAGTGTTTATGATTACAGAGAAATGCAATGATACAAGTAAACATGGAGATGCAAACGGCAGTAATGGCCAAAAGCGGAAAATGTATTTAATAATGGAGGAGAACAGCGAAAGTTCGGAAAAGCTGAAGCGAACCGATAACATTGGTGGTTGTAAAAAGTTGACGTTAGTTGCCGATAAATCCGATGGCCAATTGCCTCAACAATTTGAAAAGATATTACCCGAGATATTAAATTGCATACAAGCCAAAGGTGTAAGTAATAATAGCGGAGTTGAAGTGGTTAGATCAAGCGAAACTTTAATCGACAGTGGTCATATAACTGAAAAGCTACCTGCAAGCAGTAATGTTATAATAAATGACGATAATCAATATGAAAATCCCAACGTAATCGTTATTAAATCGGATGCAAAGACTGCATACAACGATAGACTGCCTATAACATTGCCGCCGAAAAAGAATCGCACCAAAATAATTAACACTCAAATTATACCAATACAACAACAGAGCTCCGAGGAATTAACTAACATTTCCAATGGCATCGTTTCCGCTCATCATTCGTACGAAAATAACGATTTGGCGCAACATAATACCGGACAGCAGATTAGCTATCAAAAAAGTTTCATTGAAAGTACTGGCGCTACACCCGTTATAGTGACAGCGTCCAATAATAATTCATTATTAACCAACGGCGATAACGGTTTAAAAATGCACGAAAGCAACACCGTTATACCCCATAAAAATATAAATCTATCGCCAGACTTTTTATTCTTAATGAAAATGCTACCGAAACTCGAGAGTATACCGGAACCGCAAAAAATCCATGTGAAAAGTTGCATCGAACAGATTTTAACGCAGAATGCCAATTTATTTATGGATGAACCATGATTTTGAAAGAAAAAATAATAATATAATTATTGTCATCATCGTCATCATCATTATCATTATTATCATCATCATTATCAATATCATCATCATTGTAATCATTATTATGATTGTCATTATTACAATTCGAAGACATTGTAATAATATTAACAAATTTATTATTGTAGTTCTATACAATATAATGAGAATAAAATATAAAAAAACATTCGTTCATTCATTCTCACTCATATTTATTTATATATTTATCATGTCATTCACAATACACACTTAGTATTTATTATATATATATATATATATATATATATATTTATTTATTTTTTTTTTTATTTAACCGAGAGCGCGAAAAAGTCAGAGAGAACTAATTAATAATTAAATTAGTTCTGTCTGTAAGAAATAGAATCGGAAAGCTTTTATCCGTATAGAGATATGGCAAATCCTTTCATCCTTTCATTACGGCATCTATCTGTACGAATAAAAGCTTCTCAGTCTTGTTAACAATAACAACAACAGTTTATTTCGTTCAATCCATTCATTGTTCTCGTTCTCGTTCTCTCTAACCCTTATATTATATCTCAAATATGAAGCATTTCATTTTTTTTTTCTTTTTTTTCACTTTGGAGACTGACCGTTTGCGGAACGCGCCTCACCTATACATTTATTTTTGTGCTATTTTTTACATTTATAAGATGAATTCATATTATTTGAAAAATATTTTTCTCTTATTTTATTATTTCTATATTTTAATATTTCACTAATCATACACGACAAACGAAGTCTAGAATTTAAGTCTGAAAAAACAACAAAAAAACAATAATAAAAAATTAAAAAAAGAACAAGAAATCAAAAAAATAATATATATATATATATATATTTATATATATAGATATATATATATATATTTTTGAAATAAAGGACGATTTATATTTTCATAATTAATAAAAAAAAATGTAAGAAATGAATGTGTTTTTAAATAATTTTATTTCCAATACTAGATCTTACGCAAATTGAATGCAGTACAAAATAGTTCGCCACAAAATCGTTGTAGGTTTTATTCGATGCCCGATCGCAATGCATTAAATCTTGAATTTCATCTCAATGATGAATCAATGCGAATGCGTCATTCACGCCGTAACACATATTCACGAAATGAATATTGTCTTCTATCACATTTGATTTCAAAACAGATCGAAGATCCATTTACTTAATATATTAGTCATACCATATATCGCATCATATATATCTTTTTTATAAGAGTTAATTTATTGAGCGCAATTATTCGTATTATTTCATTTTGAAAACACAATTTAGGAGGCAAAAGAAATGAATCGCTCCCTAGCAAATGTAAGCGATTGCATGGATTGATTTTGTCGATTTTCGAAAGCAAACAAAACGAAGAAACATAGTCATGATTTCGAAAACCGACTTTCGTAATCCCAATCCATTATTTGCATTACTTGCACTTATCAACGCAACATGCACACTTCGATAAGACTTCAATGTGTTGCAAGCATTTGACATTTGTTGAATATCACAGTCAAGTACATTGAAACTTTTCCTCTTTTCGCGTTCCTTGGTCAAAATATAATTCACTTTTCTATAAGTATCAGATCTCATTAAATACATTCTCAAAATACTAGTAGTTTGCGATTGAAGAAACGAAAACTGTAGAACTCAAAAAAAAATATATTCGAACTTTTTACCAATCGATTTACTTAAAACTTCGACCTTTTCAAAGAAAAAAATAAGATAACGATATGTTCGAAGTTGTAAGTATTTCATATTCATTGCCAGCAAAGACTTCCAGCTCCTTCAAAAAAAGAAAAAAAAAGCTTTCATCTTTCGATATAAGTAAAAGAGTTTTAAAGTTTATTTACTAAAATATTTATCATTTATATAAATTATGTATATGCGTATATAAACGTTAAAAGCGAATGACGATAAGTTTTAAACATTTATGAAATAATTTGGCTGTCTAAAGAAATTGTTTAGATCGGAAGTTTATGTTAAATGCTTATTGAGCCATTTCATTTAATGTAAAGGTAGATAGGTGGTAGTGAGATCGTGAAGAAAAAACAAAAAAAATATTCGGAAAAACTGGCCCGCAACGCAATCTAAATTGCATAAAATTCCCGTTCAGCTAGTTGTAAACCGCCCAACTTAATTTCCATTGCAGTTTTACCCGACATTGTACCATGACGCTCGATTAGATTCCATAGGGTGCCCATAAACAAACAGTACAGCACAATACCGAATGTTACTAGTTTAAGCAAAATAAAAATAGTTCGATAAACATAAGTCACAGGAAACTCGGACATAAATAAAAAGCCAATCAACAGAAACAGAGCGACGCATAAATAAGCGATACGATCACGATACAATTGTTTTAAATGTCTCTCGCACACAGTTATCCCTTCGTTAATCAATGCCATCTGCAGTAAAGTATCTACTACGTAAAAATGTCCAGTGTTCTTTTTTTCCGAAGCGGCCATAAATCCATTTGAGGTGGTATAATAAACGTTTCTTCCACATTCATAATGATTGTTCTTAATAAGACGCGTTATATCTGCTTCCTGCAGTTCTTCTATTTTAAGTTTGACTTGTACTGCTTCGTGATCGGAATAACTATAACGTTTTCCTGGCACACGAGGCGGCAATGGAAGTTTATATTCCATAACGCTTGCTTTCACTTTATCATCACTATTACGCATAAAAATATGATCGATACGTTGACCAGTTGAATTTTTAGCCAAAGCAGCCTTTGAAGTATAAGCATTATCCTTACATTCATATGTTGCTATCAATTCCGAACTGCACGTATCTATCATCTCGGATATATGTAAAAGAATACTAAAGATTATAACATTGAAAAGAAAACGACATGGATACAAATGAAAAGTTAAATGCTCGCATTTACCCATAAGAAAGGTCTCCAGGTTTAGCATTAAAATCGCCGGCTAAAACTTGAACCATCGAGTCGCCACGAGTAGCATCAATAAATTGAGCCGTATCAAATGCTTGTAAAACTCGATGTGTTTTATAATCATCATTTTTGATATTATATTCAGCATGGAGCTGGAATGTAATATAACAAAATTCATAAGATGTAATATTCAAATTTAATAACTACGTCAAATATACATGAGCATTATAGACATGCACGTATCTATCATTCGCGACGCGTATACGACATAGACCTACGCCTTTTCCACCGAACCAATCGGCATGTTGTATGCGATGGAAATAACCATTAACAGTCCATCCATGGAAGATTGAACTCACAATGGGAAATTTCGATAATACCAAAAGTCCAGAGCCCATGACACCACTGTAATAAAACAGTTCTTATGCATTCATTTTGTTATCTCTTGTCCAGTCGCAATTACCTATAAAAGTAATGGGCATACGGAAGTACTTTTTTTGTCATATTTTGTAATAATCTGCTGTCGTTTTCCGACCAAACCTCTTGCAGCGAAACAATATCATAGTTACCCGTATTTAACTGTATGGCAATATCAATTATGCGAGCACTTCGATCTGAAGATATGAATGGTATACCCCTGGGAAATGGAAATTTGTTTTCGTTTTTATATTTTTTCTAATCCTTTATATATAGATATTATAATCCTTTATACATATATTGTATTGAAGATATTCCAATACTTTACTTGTAGAAAATTTGTTAAAATATGAGAATTTTCGCAAAATTTTCTAAAATAACTCATTTTAATAAACTATAGCAAACAACATAATGCGATATTTACCAAACGTTAAAAGTTATTATAGATAATTGCATTGACCACATTGTTATAGGAGAATAATTTTTTTAAATTTTAAACTTGAATTTGTAATAAAAAAAGCAAGAAACTTAAAATCCAAAAAACAAATAGAAAATGAAATTAATATCTAGTAAATCTTTTTTGTTTTTTTTTTCCTTTTTTGAAAAATAATTGTTATTGTCACAGTCTAATTTCAATTAGCAGCTGATTGTTGATTTACCCTTTAGTAGTGTAGGAAAGCGAATGTTCGATTAATATTATTTTTATGCTTATATCGTAATGTGTGTGCCTTATTTGAAAAACTTTACGGGATTGAAAATCTCTTACTCTTATACTTTTATATCTAATATATAGACGTCTTGACATTTAGGATTGTATTAAGGTTTGTTTGTTTTTTTTTTTTTTTTTTTTTTTTGTTATTACTAAACCAAATATTTTTTAAAGTATCCAAAATTTACATCAACTGAGGTTGGACCAAATGTTTTCATGTCACAACCATAAAAGTAACATTGGCAAAAAATTGATTTTCTCCTATTCGGTACAATGAAAACTTATGGAATACATATATATGTTTATTTATAATTTGTATGATAACATTTAGTCTATTGCAACTCACGTTTTAATTTGCAAGACCTTTTACTTGAGAGTCATATCAATTGGACGATTTATTAACGATAGTACATTAAGGATGGCGGCCGTTACGCTTGCTTAACATCAGTGTTGCTTTTCATGGAGCATCAGAAAAGCCTCAAATTTGATGGAATTTTAGAATTAAAGTTTGATCGTTCTAATATAAGTGAAATATTTGTGTCTACAGATAGACTTTACTCAAAAAAGGTGAACTTCAATTTTCGCTATTGAAAGACCTGTCTTGCATTGGGAGTAGCATAATAGTAACGGCAATATAATGGAAAATAATTTGGTTCATTGGATATATATGTGTTTACTTATAAGATGCAACGTAATATGGAATATTGAGGAAAACAACGTACCTCCTTATTCAAAACGCTGTTTTACGATTTTCAGCAAAAAATTCGATATGAATTCATAATTTAAAATATGTTATTATATATGCTTAAGTTTATACATATAAGATAATATCAAGAAATGTAGTAAAGTATGCATATTTATTTTACCACTATTTAATTTAATATTTTCACTTTTAAATTCATTTCACATATATTCACTTTGTAAAACTACGCGCAGGTATGGCGCAGAGATACTTTTAATTCATGCTCATTTCAGCTCAGATTATAAGACAGATTATGAGAGTGGCATCTCTTTTTACTACATTACAGAAAAAAAATGAATTCGCATTTTGTGTAATTGCTCTCCGACTACTGCTTTGGTAAATTGCATTTGTGAAAAATCTGTCATCTTTGGTTATTTCCCTTTAGGTTGGAAAACGTGTTTATTTTATTACGTTAACACGCACATTCCCATAATGCGATTACTCTACTAACTGAGGTTGTATATGAGACAGTTGGTATCCCTTTTTTCGCCGTACTTATAAAATTAAATGTCGGTCGCTTCGGTAGAAATTTTTTAATGGAATACAAGTATTTCAATAATTGAAATTAAAAAATAGTTAAAAAAAAAAAGTTTGAAACTGCAACTGAAATATATATAAATAGGACTGTTATAGGAAACGTGTAATGAACCGTTTTGTTTCTAATTAAAAAAGTGAGGCAATGTGAGAAGTTTTCTATGTGCGTGTGAACAACGTAGTCAAAAAAGAACAAAAGAAAGAAAAGGAAAAAAAAACCAAAGAAAAATTCTTTTGTTAATTAGAGCAAAGATTGCAAAATATTTTTTCACAGTATTCGCTCTTTATTTCTGAATTTATATTTTAACGTATGGAAATATTTTGAATGTTAAGTAAATGCTTTTAATTTTTTGTTGAGAAAAATTGGAAGTTCGTAAAATTGTTATTTATTTAAAGAAATCCCTGTGGTTTAGCGATTTTGACACGAGTTTCTAACACAGGTAGGAGAGGACTTTAGAGAAATAAAAGTCGACAGATAAGGCCGGCATTTTATGTTAAAGTTATTGGCAGTAATGATATTTTTTTGAGAAAAAAGGTAAGTGCCCTTTACTATTTTATTTCACTTTTGCTTTAAGATTGCACGTTCATATATAGTTTTACCTTATAAACCTCTGCATGTAATCTATACCACCAATAGGTATGTGCAGATGTGTGTATATATAGTTTTTTTCGGTATTTTGCTCTATGTTGTTTTACTATTTTCAAGTCGACATTGTAATGGTGTTGTGAAATTGTTTGATCTAACTGCTACGTGGTAAGTCGTATTATTATGTATCTCATAGCAGTAAAGCAGCGCAGCAGTTGGCAGCTGCCGGTTTCATGAACCGGCGCAAATATTTTTAACTCCATTCAAAATGAGGCTTTCCACGTTAGAATATCTAATAAGTGAAGTAGAAAAATATGGAAGCTTTCTGTTGGGTACGTCTTTAAGCACATGCTGTTATTATTACAAATATTACTTTAAAAACTAATTATTTGCTTATACACACATAATTTAATCGTACGTTTTTGCGTGTTACATATTTCCTATGAAAGTTGCTATGCTTTTTTTTAATACCTATCAGCGATATTTGGTTTCGTTGAAAGAAATTTATACAAGTATTTGTTATGATTTGAGATAAAGTTCAAAGCAGTTTTATTTATTTACATTTTTTTGATAGCAGTGACATATTAATAAAAGTAGTGAACATTTCTCAATCATCATACCATGAAAACAATTTCGATTTGCTATAGAAGCCGAAATTTACTTTTCACAACGTATTTATTTGACAAAACCAATTTTACAGTAACAGCAGTATATATTTGTCATTTTTTTTTTGCTATTATTAAATCAATTGTAGCAAAACTTTGAAGCGATTAGTGTCAATCGCGGGAACATTCGCATTCATATTAATATCGAATAATAAGCTGTGAATTGTTAATAACTTGCGCGAGCTTCTGCATTTACGGCGAATATGAGTTTTGCCGGCAAAACTTTATACAGAGTTGTACAAAATTGTAATTATTTATTATTTTATGCAATAGAATTGAATAGAATTAAAATTGTGCAATAAATACCAATATTGGGGTATCTGTTTTTTTTTTTTTACTTTTTAAACCTTGCATGAGATTTAAAAATAGCATTTAAGCAAGACAATTATTGAGTTATCCAAGCGTACATTTCCCTTAAGATTTTAAATATGAAACTACCAGACGAATGGACGAAAACGTTTACTGATAATGTTTTCTGATTTTTAGCATATTTGATGACGTTTACGTTTTTGCTTAAAGCATTACAATCGCAGACATCATTTAATAATCGTCATTAGTTTTGGCGTTCTTAGCATTAAAGCATGACGCAGCATACGCAACCAGTTGTTGCTCAACAGCAACAACTGCAGACTGCTGGGGTACAAACAACAACAACAACGCCAACAATAACAACACAGTCTAATAATAATAATAATCACAACAGCAGTAATGCTTCCAATTCCAACAACAACAGCAACAATCAAACAACACAAACTGTATCTATACAACAACCGCAAATGAACAACAATAATAATAATAACACCAGTAATAATAATAATTATTCAAATCAAACCCAAACAGCAGCGACAGCAAACATTTACAATGCGGCTTTACCGTCGACCAATTTATATATGTCGGCAACAGCAGCAGCATCTCACGGTATGTCAGCTCATGCTCAACATGGAACTATGTATCCGGCCATGATTCCGGCACCTCTGTCAAGTAATGTGTTCGTAAATAATGTCACTGCCAATGTCAACTTACACGGATGGGCTCACACTGTACCGACTGGAACTTGGGTGCATCCTAGTGCTTCTCATTATATTCATGGAGATGTGCCAACTGAACAGGTGAGTGTAAAAACCTTTAAAGGATGATGAGTAGAGTTTTCCTATAAAAATTATTAATTTCTCTTGAAAGGGTACTCCGGTTATGCAGTCCATGCCAATGTCAATACCGTTGACATCGGCCAATACTATGTCTTGTCCAGTAGTGGGAGGAAATCCAAATCTTTCTGGAATTTCTGGTGGCTCTCGCGGATCACGTCGTGGTCAAGGACGTCGTGGTGGAGGTAGTTCTAGACGCAACGACTACAACTCTCAACGGCACCCTCCACCAGCAGGTAGTCCAGCACCACAGCAAGCTGCGTTAACAAACAATCAAAATCAAGATTATCCACCACAACAACAAGGCCAACAACAATCTTCTTTAGATACTCAACAACTAATGTCCGGTGCTCCGCCAGCCTACGTTACCCATCCGCCGTACGGCGGCCATCAACCGCAATATCAATGCGCTTATCCAGCCTTTTTTGCACCTCAAAATCCCATGATGCACGCTGGCCAAAGTACGGCAGTGCAACAGGCCACTGGAACTCCTCTCTATTTCTCTACAATGCCATTTTATAATGGTGCCCACGTGTACAACTATGGTTATATATTACCACCAGTAATGAGTCCGGCCGATTACCAATACGTTCCTGGCGAAGATGTAGTTGGTGGCCCCGGTGAAGAGCGGCAAGCTTGTCCCGGAGAAGGTGGCGCTATGATGTGGCATCAACAACCAATTTACGCGGAAGACTACGCTATGAACCCAGGTGACATGCATGTTTCTGCTGGTGCCGGTGACGATATGAATCATACAGCTTCTTCGATGGGCTCCGCAGCTGAAACACCCAGTATGCTTAGTCCAAATTATGGGCCTATTTATGATGGCCAACTACATGAAATGCAACAACAAATGGGTGTTATGCAGATCTACGATGATTCGCAATTGGGACAAATACAAGCTATGCACCCCGTTGTAGCAGGCGTACAGCAGGTATAGAATAAAAAGTTCATATAATTGTCCGGAAATTAGCTCACTTTGTTTTTTTAAATAAAGATGGACGAAGAATTGTCCGAATGCGCAGCAAATAGCGTTGCACCTACAGGTGCTATACAAATGGTACCAGCTGGTGCAATAATACAATCGGGCTCGATGCCCATAACAAGTGACGGTCAAATGATGCACCAACACCATCAGCCGCAACAGCAAACATCGCATCCGCAACAACCAAATCAGTTAATATCTGTGGGGCACGCTGTATTGCCAATAGAGCCTTCAACACCAACTGCACCTTTACAACAGCCATCACATTTTACAGCAGCGGGTAAGTTAAAGTTCCCTTACTTTATTTATAGACATTTCGAATCTTATATTATTTGATCTCTATTATTCAACAATACCAAAATTAACATTTTTAGAAGAGAAAGATTAAGATTTGAGAAGACTTTTCATCTATTCGCTTAAACAAAATTTTGGACTCTGCTTTTTATTGTTCTTTAGTTCTTGTTCGTCGTCTAGTAGGGCTAAGATTTCAAGGAAAGCGACAGAAAAATTTTAAAGAAAAGGTGGACCTTTGTTATATACAAGCTCAAGTAGGTTAATAACGGCTGCTACTTGAGAATATTATTCTTTTTAATGCCTAATATTTTAAATATTCTGTAAGGGTTTCTTGAAGTTTTTGGGTAATCTTTTTCCGTTTTTAAATTTATGATTTCGTATTGCGATCGTTGACTTTATTAAGCGAATGCTCATGTGTTTTGTGCTCAATGGTGTGGTTTGCCACTTCCAAATCTTTTCCGTTTTGTGTGCATCAAAGCGACGGCATTTCTAATATAGAGATTCAGAGATTCGGATGAAAGGAAATGAAAGCATTTCTCTTGGTAATTATTTCGCGGGTTTTGATTCTTTCTTCCCCTTATCCAGTAACTGCGAAATCGGTTTTTGGCTGTAGGGTGTGTGCTTTCTTAACGACTTGCCAGAAAAGTACTTTCTGTAATAAGTGCAAGTTGCACTCTCATGAGATCATACATATCCTTCGTATTTACTTGTATTGACTTGAGACTGTTCTATAGAGCGCGCGCGAAAACTCGAGTAATAGCTAAAAGCTTGTCAAGTCTTTGATGTCGGGACATTTATTCTCTTAATCTTGTCACTGGATGATCTAGTTTTTGCAGTTGCATTGTGATATTTTTTCCTTTAAGTTCTTAGGTTATGTAAGGCTGCTTACGCTGAAAAAGAAACACAATCTTCAAAACAATTATTATGCAACTTTCTATATATTATAATTTTTAACGGCTTACCTCTTATAAAGAGAGAGAGAGAGAGAGAGAGAGAGGAAAAATATTTTATTTAGATTTGTTGTGGAAGAGTAAAAAAGGCTTTTTTTGTTTGCACTTTTTCACAGGATCAAAATAAAAATGAAAGTTAACTCGTGAGCTTTTCTTGGGTTTTTATAATTAAATTTTGCAAAAGTTTCTTTTTCAAGAAACTTTTCATGAATACGTACACGAAGTGTATAAGCTATTAAACAGTTAAATTTCATTGACATAAACATTTTCAGTTTTTATAGCCGAAATTTTAATATATTTGTAACAAGCGCAAAGGAAGTAGATCTGACTCGATATCAGTATGTATCCAATAGAATACATATTTGTTAAAGGCGAGATTCGAAAGTGATTAGTCTTTTCGTTGAAAGACTTACCACCAAACTGTGTCTTTGCTAGCGGACGCTTGGTTTGTATTCGCAGTAACTGCGAACTACCCACGATAAATGCACCGAGCCATTAACAATTTGTTTGACGAATTCATTTTACCTTAAGAAGAAATCATAATATTAAGTTATATAAGCTGCCATAGGTATATACGTCTTTTATGAAAAAGAAGAAGAAGATTTTCGCAATAATGCTAAATTGCCATATTAAAAAGATGGATAACCGTTGATCTATAAGAGACCAATCAACATGATATTTGGCCCGAATATTTTTTAAAGTCGCCTAGCATATCAGAGTAAAAATGACCTTCATTGATCCGCTGATATGTGTTAAATGCCAACATTTTTAAGGCGTTGGATAGCCAAGATTCATCACAAAGCAAATGTTCCCTCTTTTTATACCCATCACTGAAGAATGATAGTATACTCATTTTGTTCTTTTTTTTTTTTTTTCTAATGTTATGTAACACTTAAAAGGAAGCTTCAGGGACCCTATAAGATATATATATATATATACAATTGTGATCAGCGTGAAATTGCGAATTGATTAAGCCATGTCTGTCCGTCTGTGTTATTGGTATTCTCCTGGTCGCAAAAATGAAGACATCGACTTCAAATTTGAGAGAGACAAATGGGCAGGAAGTCCACAAAAGAGCATGAACTGAACGCAATTTCATTTTTCTTAACAAAAATTTTTAGGTTTTTATTCATTGCTCGCAAATTATAAAAGATAGAAAAGTGAAATTTTTCACATTTACTTTGCGAGAAACTCTAAAGTTTATGGGCAAAAATGGAAAAAATCAACCATGTCCACGCAAAGTTACAAGTGATTAAATTTTATTTTTTTCATATTTTTCGTAAGACAAATTGTTTAAATAACATACACATGGGCTCAGAGATTAAACGGTCTGATTGATTTCTTTAAATTTTCCATAGAAAAATTAATAAGAGGATCCGTTCCTTAAAATTATATTAATTAATTGTATCCCAAACCAGGCTGAATCGTCTGTGTTCACGATTGGCTTTTATACTAATTACCGAACGTTTGACTTCGTTCGATATTTCGCGTGGTTTGATCGGAAATCTATTCGGAAGCAGATCCGCATGTCGGTTCGTGTTAAAGCTTAAGCAAATGATCCCATGCGATGCCATACTCGACGAAAATCATTAGCAATGACGCTCTTCTGACAGCAACTTCAGCTAAGCTCGCAATCAAAGACGGATAATAATGTTTTAAGATGTCCTCGCCACTTCCTGAGCTTAACAAAAAATATGGACAGAGCGATATTTGTCAAATTCTTTACCAAGCAAACGGTTATAGCTTTCAATAATTTCGGATTGAGCGCATTCAGAGGTCGTGCTGTTTTGTTTGCGTGGCGGTTCTGCACTTGTCCGTATTAATGGCAATGATATGCGTTTGAAATAATGATATCATTTACAGATACACGATGATGTGGATATTGAATGCCTTATGTAGCATTCGGCAGGCGTACAGGTCCAACTAAGCTATCAATTAATGTTCTGTGAAACTCCACATATACATGAGTATTCTTGAGAACCGTCCACTTCTAATAAAACTTTCGATTTGATGCAATCACTTGCACTTGCACTTGTTAGGCTTCTGCGGGACAACAGAAGTGAAATAAATATTGGCGTCCGTAAAGGGTGTTGTTTTGTTTATATAATTTTTTGTCGGGGACTCTGCATTCACAAGCACACTCTTTTATGTTATTCGAAATTGAAAAAAAACTGAATGCCTGTTTCAGGTACGGTATTTAGAGTTCATTTCGAAATTTTTAATTTAGTCGCCTGCATTCGTATTACTATGTTTCGTGACGGTAAGGTGGGGGCTTTTTTCATTTGACACATCTGCAATGACAATAGATAGAAAAAGAAAGGGCGGGAACAACTAGTACTAACGTTTCGAGATAGGAAGACTGCGTGGGTAACTAAAGTATTTTGCGTATTATTCAGGAAATGGCTTAACGAACGATTGCATTAGGCGAAGCAGTGTAGGCTATTTAAAGGTCGGCCTTGCCTGACTATAGTAGTCTTACTTGTTATACCCTGCATCACGTGTGGGACATGGTATATTAGTGCAGACGTATGTAACACCCAGAAGGGTTTAAGATAGACCCACTTTTTATTACACCAATCGATTCAGAATCATAATTTAAATTGATCTAAGCCTGTCGGCCCGTCTGGCCGTTTGATGTCAGTCCATGTAAATTTGCGTTCAGGCTACGCGGCGCAATTTTAGAGGTATTTTGATGAAAGTTGACAGACGGACGTACTTTGGCTCAAGGACGAATCCTGTTAAAAATGGTTCGGATTGGTCCACTTTTTCAAAAAAAAAAAAACTGCAATTTTCAAAATTTCTCGACAAAAGTGGCTAAGTAATAGTATTTTGGCATTCTAAATTGCTATGAAAACTTCGGATCGGCTGGGGCAATTTTTTGAACCCTCTCTCATATAACCGTTTCAATGGAAACTGAAGCTACGTATGATAAAAAGGTCGAATTCTCAGTGAAAATTGGCTTTTAATAGTAAATTGGCAGAGAAATCTATCCTACCGAAAATTAAGTGGACTTAATTGGAACCACATGGATCTGTTTCTTGGCCCTACTCCATATAAGATAAGTTATGAATAGTAAGTCCTTCAGAAAAAAAAAAGAGTTAATTTTTAATATTTTATGACGAAAATTAATTCATGGTAGCGCTTCAGCAAAAAAATTAACGTTTGTGAATTTGGATTACAAAGGACTATTGTTCTGGAGTTCAACATGTATTGTCGCTATCATGAAGCGCGAACTCTTAGATCTAACCTTCCAATATGTAGGCTTTCTTCAGGCAGTATGTATGGCTTTGCGTGAAGGTAGGGTGTACTTTTTGCGGTATTATTACCAAAACGAGCGAACGACTATACTAGCCGAAATAGTGTACGGTATGTAGAAGTCTGTGTTGCCCCACTATAATGTTCTTACTTGTTGTTTATTTATTTGTAAGCATAACGCGGCAAATGTTCGTGAACATTATTGATATAAGCAAAATAGCAAAATTTAAAAAAAAATGCAAATTTTTTCGTTCATATATGCATATATATGTATGAATACCGAATAAATGATAGATTTTCCTTGTTTTCATGTATAACACGAACGAAACAAGCAAGCTTTGCATGAATATATCGTTCAATCCAACCAATTGATAATAAATCCTTTGCAAATCTTCATATAGAAATTTATTGTTAAGCCGTGTGCAGAGTTTCACCTTCACCTTGCAATCTTAACAATCAATGCCAGTTTTATTGACATTGCCACAGTTAATATTAAAGAATAAGAAATACAGCTCTTATAAACACTCAACATAGCCGAAAAATAAACCTATAGCCAAATGTAAGGGGATCGGGTAATAGAAGAATAAAATTCGATATTAAGCATAAAAAACAAGAAAGAACATTATAGTCGTGCAAGATCGTCCATAAGATACCCTACATACACCACTTCGCCTAGTACAATTATTCAATCTTTTTATATGAAATTATTTTAATGTTATGGGTCAGTTTCCATTTCTACATATTAAAGCTTGGTCTTTTCTAATTTACAAAAGATCAATTT